CCCCCCCCAGCCCCACATCAGGGCGCGGGGATAAACAGCTCCGGTTTTTCCTTCAGCCCCCCCCCACAGCCACGCCAATTTTTTCCTTTTTTTCCCCATTTTTCATCCCAGGCCTCGCCCCGCGCACGGTAGGCCGCAGGTCCCGTCGAGCAGGGCTAGGGCCCGCCTGCAGGCTCTGCCCCACGCCGCAGCCTGGGCCTTGTTCCCCTGTTCCTCAGGGCTTGGCCTCCTCCCCTGCTTCTGGTGCTGCCGTCGAGTGGAGGAGGCCAGGTGGGCTCCACACAAAGCGGCCCACGGTGAAGAGGGGCGATGGGGGGAAATGGCTCCTGGCTCCCTGACCTCAGCTACGAAGCTGGCCCCAGCTGCAGCTGGGGATGGGATCTTGGCCAGCGTCTCTGCTGGCAGTTCTCTAGGTCTTGGGGGAGAAGAGCCGGCCGCCGGGCTCTTGGCAGTGCTGGAGGGTGACCTGAAGAATTTGGCAAGTGCTTGTGTAAGGCAAATCTGCCGGTGATCCACTACGGTACTACCCCTGCCTGGGTGTGAAATGTCACGTTGTTGGCACTTCTCAGCCCAGGCTAAGGAGGCCTTTCCAGAACAACAAAGCCTGTGGAAGATTAATGTTGAACTACTAAGGGGGTTCAAAGGAAAGTATTAAAAATAATGTGAATAGTAGTGCTGGAAACGCTACCTCAGAGAGTCTATCTAGGTAAACAAAAGTTGAAAAATCTGTAATATTGGATTCTATAAATACTTCTGAATGTGTTGTGTCAGTGCGATCCTTAGAGCTCATCAGCTTTTTCATGGTTCACTTGGAGTTCTCATTTCATGAAAGGAGGATTGGGTGGCTCAGGGTATTGCTAACGGGACGCAGCGCAGAGCTTTCACCTTTAGGAACGTGGGCCAGGCCAGTCCAGGTCAGTGGTTTGGGGACAGCTGACGTTAGCTGGGTGGTGGTTTCAGTCCAGTCCTGTTTGACAAAGATTGTTACTCGGTTTAGTAGGCCAAAGAGTAAATTGCAAAAGTAACTAAATTATACTTGCTACTGGATACAGTCCTCCTAGATCAATATTTAGACATGCTAGCGAGCAAACACAAACCAGTTTGCAAACCTGACTGGCATTTTTCCTGCAAGCTGAAATTTATTAGAATATATCAGATTTAGTTCAAACTGTTGGATAGACTTTAATATGAAAGGTTAGTGCAGTTTGGCTCTGAAAACTTGAATCAGTATAAAGCCAACACTCTTTGACATAGTCTCTCTCTCTGTGCATTCAGAAACAATTCTTCCTTCTTTGCCAATGTTAAAGAATGTTTTATTGCAGGGAGCAATATAGAAACACAGCAGTAAGAGAGGAAGCTGAATTCTACTGCCAGCTGGCCATTATTTAAAGAATTCCCAATTCAGTGCCAGTGATGAAAAACTTTCAGATTCTGGGCTCCGTTTGTAGGAGAAAATATAATTCTGAAAGCCACTAAATTTTACCTAGAAATCAGAGACAATAATCATAAAGCTGTAGAAGCAGATTTTAATAAAGTCCCTTTCCAGAGCAAAACCCTGCTTGCCTCATGTTGTGGTATGATGCTTCATTTTCAGTCCTGCACCCAAACTACAATAACGTTATGCCTCAAAAAATCTCAGCGCACTGTAGATTTACTTTTAATTTTCCAGCCAAAAAAATGCTTATGTTGAATTCTTTTCCTAATTGGAATTTTTTAAAAATTATCTTTAGGATTTACTAGGGTTTTAAAAGTTATTTAAATGTATATACTGTATTAAAGCCCTATTCTCTGTCTCCAGTTATGTCTGAAGAAACTCTAAAGCTTCTCAGATAATTTATTTATAAAATGAGGACATCATACTTGACTCATCTAAAGGAAAGGTTCCTGGTCAATACTACCTGCCAGGAAAGTATACAGGAAGATAGCACTTACCTGTGAAGATGAAAGCTTCAGATTCTTATCACAGAGTATCATCTCCATAGACAGCATGGTAGAAGATTTTCTGTCTATATATTTTCGTAGCATATTGCATTGTGTCTTGATGCTGGATGTCTACTTAAGCTGAAATACATAAAAACATGAAAAATCTGAAACGTTTAAAAACTATTTTTAAATTTTTCAACTGGTCATACACGGCTTCTTCACAGTAATGCCATTTATGCTTGAATTACTTAACCCAATTTAATCAAGACGTCAAAGATCTACCAAAACTCAGTTTAAAAAAAAAATCACTAAGTGAGATTACAAAATGTAATTTGCTCTTCAAAAGATAGATTTCCAATACGCTTTGGATGTGCTACTTAATTGTTTTCTGTAAATCACTACATTTTGCTTTTCTTTGCCAAGAATTATCAGAATCATAGGCATGGAGAAACAGTTTCTCGGTCCAAGAAGAAATCAATGACCATTAAATGCTTTCTATTGTTGTTACTTTATATATACAAATCCCTTTCTTCCAGCAGGCCTAGCAGCAAATTGTACAAATGGCTACTTTTTCTGGCAGACAACCTAAGAATGGCATCAGTGTACTGAAGCAGTGGTTTGGCTCTGTATATCTGAAAGCTTGGTACCAAAATCAGTTCCTGATGCTTAATGCCTCTTTCTTGCATCAAAACCCCTTGGTGATGCCTTTTCTCCCAGGTCACACTGTCCGGACCAGTGGTCTGGCCACGGACTTGTTGCCAGCCAGGTGTGTGCAGAGACGAATCTCCTGAAGGCCCAGCTAACGGTGCTCTGTTTCGCAGGGTACTACGCACGGCATGTTTGTAATTCTGTTTTTGCTGGCTGTGACTCTCGCTCAGAGCACTTGCAGCAGTAACCACTAGCAACCAAGCCACTGGTATCCTCTGACATTACACCGTAGTTACTAGATGCTATAGTTAGTACACTAAAAAAAGGCACTTGAAAATCTATCAGAAATCACAACAACTCTATCCCTTGTTTTCCTAGGGCATAGATAAAGCAGATCTCCCAATCTGACTGGTATCCCACAGACAGTATTACTATTCTTGAGCCAACTAGCACTTTCGTTTGTCTTGTACCCATAAGTGGCCTTATACATCACTACCACCATGAAACACTCAATTTCAGAGTATTTGAACCCTCCAGAAATACATTTTCTTGAGGTCTCGTATGGACTCGACTTCTACCAGCCCCTCGCAGCAGCCAGACTGTTGCAAAACATCGGTTTGCAGCAGTCCGTCCTTTGCGGCAGCGCGTCCCCACCGTGGCGGGAGTCCCCGCAGCGCGGGCGCGCAGCATGCTAGATCCGGAGGGCAGTGCGGAGCACAAGCCTGCCTCTGCCTTCCCCAGGGTTTGCCTCATCCCTCTCGCCATGCTCCTTGCAATCGCAGCACTCCTGCTCCTAGCGTTTTCCGCTACGCGGCAGAAAGAGCCCGATTTTTACACTTTCAAAGTTGTAAATATCAGGGGCAAACTAGTTTCTCTGGAGAAATACAGGGGCTCGGTAAGTCTGCGCGGAGCCGGGGCTCGCTCACCC